GAGAGAGAGAGAGAGAGAGAGAGAGAGAGAGAGAGAGAGAGAGAGAGGTGGAGGATTGTGAATGTTTAGTTCTCTATTTATTTCCTTTATTTCCTTTGCAAGTTACTATTGATTCTGCATCTTTTAGTATGTGCCGAGTCACTGCGTCACAACTTACTGCTTTTGTCTCATTAAATAAAAACATCCCACTGGACACGGACAAGGTCAAGGGGAAGAGAGTACAAGGAATGGTCTTCCGCTAAGAGTGGGATGAAGAAATCTAAATCGGGTTGCACAAGAATGGACTTCAATGCTTTGGCTACCTTGCTTTTCAAGTGCACCACTTCCGTAGATTGATTCTTTTTTAATGTAGGTGTTTTTGTTCGCCTGCCGACACATTTTGTATTACTCAGCAGACGGGCTTCCGACCCGTTTAGTCAGGTTCAACTCTGGTTGAGAGGGATACAACATCCTTGCAAAAAGACCGAAATACTCGAATAAGAATTATCCCCTAACTGCTTCACCACAGATGCCGATTGGCATGGTTTGATTATCTGTGAAAACCTTTTAGTCTTTGTAACAAAACATTAAACCTCTCGCTGGGTTTACCCTAACGAGTTATGATGATTTTTAAAATTTTCTATTATACAGGCAAAAGATTGTCCCTGGCAGGACTCGTCCGTGTGTACATGCTCCGCCAATCAAGCCATTTGCTACGCACGGGGTCCGAGGATACCAAAGCCGTCCAATAACTTGACTCAAATTGACAGTTTGAGCATATCTGGATATCGGCTGATCGAAATCGGAGACGACGATTTACCACCAAACTTGAAGAAAATCGAGGTCAAGTCTCTTAGTTTTGCTTACTTTAGTTCTAACGCACTCAGAAAGTCTTTGAAAACTCTGGAGAGATTCTCTGTATGGTCCCTTAATCTGACTGAGCTGCCTGGAAGTCTCAGAGAAGTCGAAGGCTTGGAGGGACTTGAACTACGACACGCAAGAATTAAGACATGGAATAGAAATTTAACTCGTCATTTAGGGAGAACCATAAAAAATTTAACCCTTAACGTGCCCTTAGACAAGTGGCCAGAGTGGATCACAGATTTTGTGCAGCTGGAAACTTTGCTGTTGCGCACTCCACATTTTGAAGTTCCTCCAGATGCGTTTGACCATGTTCAAAATACACTGAAAAAACTCGAGTTTGACGGCCAGTTCTTCTACCGGTACGATTTCTATCCAGGACCGTTTGTTCTACCTATGTTTCCCGAAGCGGTGACGAAACTACAGTCACTTGAAATGCTTAGTTTAGAACGGTTTAATCTAAGCACGGTCCCTGATGTAGGAGCGACATTTGCTGGCTTTGGGAATACCTTACACACGTTATATTTGAGAGCTTGTGATCTGTCAGTAACACCGAACCTTCTGCTACTTTCAAAACTCACCAAACTGCGTCTATCCTTCAATAATCTCCTTAATTTTCGGACGGATATTCTCCCCCCCACCTTACAATTTATTAAATGCGTCCGCTGTCATTTGATAGATATTCCCGATTTCTCTCATTTCAAGAACCTTACGGAACTCAGTTTAGATTTCAATGACTTTTCCACAATTCGTTCAACCGTTTTTCAGGGTCTCGAAAACTTAAAAACATTGTCTTTGACTAAAAACAAAATCACCTCAATTGAGAATGGCACTTTTTTGGATACGAGCTCCCTTGACACACTTGCCCTTTCAGGAAATAGTCTCAGCCACTTGCCCGAAGCAATGGCTGAAGCTAAGAGTATTCAGCTTCTACAGATGTTTGGAAACTTTTTCACGTGCAGCTGTATTAGTCAAGACCTTAACTCGTGGATCCGAAGCATAGATACGGTCAGAGCAAGTGTTAAAATTTGTCAGGAAGACAACCCGGATATTGTGTCTTTCTGGCGCTCCGACGCTTCCCTGTGTAGAGACGACGATCCCATTGTTGGCTAGCCCCAATGAGAGACCTGTGTTGATCTTGATTTATGCTTTCTTATTTCTCATAGCATTTCACAGCGACTGGACTTTACAGACACCCTACCCTCTCTCCCCAAAGCAAAGTTAATTGATTGATTGAAAGTGCGAAAGACAGCCCCCCACCCCCCCCCCCCACTCCCCCGGGGAAAAGCAGCTCCTCGCATTGTCTGTCTGTCTGTCTCTCTCTGTGTCTCTCTGTGTCTCTCTGTGTCTCTCTGTGTCTCTCTCTGTCTCTCTCTCTCTCGATCTCTCTCTCTCTGCCTCTCTCTCTCTCTCTCTCTCTCTCTCTCTCTCTCTCTCTCTCTCTCTCTCTCTCTCAAGCCAATTTTGTTTTGACAGATATCTAAGCTTCTGAGTGAAGTGATGTGCCTAAGTTGTGATTAGCAAGACCAGCAGATACGAATCTACAATATCTTCAAATACTTACATCATGTTTAAGGCTTCAGTATGTTTGCAGCTCTTGGATTGTCCTACTGTTTATTGAAATGAATAAATGTCAAAATTCTGTGCTATATAAATTTCAAAATAGATGACTTGAAGCCTAGGTGGTGTTTTGTTTTGTCTTGAATTAAAACGACATGCATACTTTTACGAAAACATATTAGAATAAAGTGAACATTCAGAGTATTGTATCTCTAAGGCTCGCACAATTTCATTATTTATAACTCCTATGGCCCCTTTGTTCATTACAAAATTTGCCATTTCAACCCACTAAGGAACATAATAATATTGCAGTCTTTTGGTGCTTTCCAAGATTATTCACTCATTCCTTTTTCTCTTGTCATCAGGTGCCCAGTTACATCGGGGTGGGGGGGGGGGGGTGGGGGGCTGAGAATAAGTAGATGAAGCACACATTTATTCTTATGGAAATAAGGTGCTGTCAAATTGAGCTGAGAATCGAACTCCCAACGCAACTTTATACTTCTCAACTAGGGCACCCTAGTAACTACAAAGGTTGGGGAAAAAATAGACAGAGAGAGAGATGGGAAGAGATAGATAGATAGATAGATAGAGAGAGAGAGGGAGAGAGAGAGAGAGAGAGAGAGAGAGAGAGAGAGAGAGAGAGAGAGAGAGAGAGAGAGGGAGAAAGGGAGAAAGACAGAAAGAGAAAGGGAGAAAGAGAAAGACAGAAAGAAGGGGAGAGGGGGGAGGAAAGAGAACGAGAGTGGGGAGTATAACATTTTACCTTCTGAAACACATTTCTGATCTTTTTATCCTGCCCCCTGTTGCCATCATAAGGCAGGCGATAAGGCAGTTTTCTGAGGCATGAAACTCGTAATTTCATAAGAGTAGCCTCAATGCCTCGTCCTCTTTCATAATAAAGAACAAATCCCCCTTTTCTCTCAAGATCTAGGTTCGCATGTGTGTTCAGCTAAAGCATAGGAAAGTACTGAAACGGGAATGTGGGATAGTGCCCAGCCCCCCAGGACAGCCCGAGGGAATCTAAACTAGACACCAAACTAAGAACTAAACTAACACCAAGATTATTCCACATCGCAATCCTCACTATTCAATCATCATCATCATCATCATCATCATCATCATCATCATCATCATCATCATCATCATCATCATCATCATCATCATCATCATCATCAGTGTAAATCGTAAAAATTATTTTTTTAAAGTTTCTTTTTGTTATTCTGAACAAGTTCACCCTAACAGAAACCACTACACCAACACATTCTATAATTTATAACATACCAATATACGCACCAAATCACCAATAGGGACAAAGATAAAAGGAAGTATTGAAATCATTTTGCGTTCACAGCCAATACAAGTCAAGAGAACAGCGGAAAAAACGACTGTAGTTACTAACTAGAAATTGTGAGGGTGCCAATTTTAAAAACTTGTGAACTCATAACTTCATATTTGTTTGACTGGTGGTTTATTGTTAAGTGCTGTTGAACGGGAATTCCAATAACAACAATCAACCAACAGTTGAACAGAAGTACAGTCATGAGTCAACAAGCGTTCAAAATTGGTACCTTAACGAATTTCTGTTTGTGACTACTGTACAGTCGTTTTCCCCCCTTGTAGTCCTCAAGTGCTTTAAATGATTATTTATTGTCGATCAGGCAGAAAACATTTTTTGGCTGTCACTAAACGATGCGAAACAGCCTGCTGTTGTCGATCAAGATACAAATAAGAGATCTGAGTCTACCCATAGACGAAAAGATCGATGAGCAGTACTGCGTTGCTCTTGATCTGTACCTTCTGACTGGTAGATAAGGAATTTATTGCAATACGGACGAAAAGGTGTTGGGCATTCTTATCGCTATAGAAGCGCTAGAACGATCGGTACAGGGACAGCTAGAAGTTTACTCAGAGAAGTTATCAATCAGATAACTTGCAAGTTGTGAATTTTATTTGACAATTAATTATTTCCTTAAGGTAGGTGGAGACATACACTTATTTTTAGGGCAATATTTGAGACTTAAGTGAGCGATCGCAACTACAACTACGAGGACCAGCAACAAGAGCGGAAAGCACTAACTACGGCAACCGCCACTACTATCAATGCCCTACTCCTCTGTCACCTCCTCCTTTTTATGATAATAATAACAATCATCATCATCATCATCATCATCATCATCATCATCATCATCATCATCATCATCACCCCCATCATCATCATCATCATCATCATCATCATCATCATCATCATCATCATCATCATCATCAACAACAACACCAAAGGAGGATGTCAAACATATGTTTCAGTGAGTGTCCAGGAACAATGGCAATTCGAATGGAGTTATTTTAACGAGTGCAGGTACCTCTAAGTATAATGACATTGGAGTCGAAAAGGAGCCTTGTTCTCGCTCGAAGATTTTTCCATGGAGTCCACCAGGCACATTAAGGAAACAACAAAAATATAATCATCATTATCATCATCACCATCATCATCATCATTGTTTGATAAGCAAAGTAGGAGGGAGAGTCTTGTTTGAATTTCAGACAAAATAACATAACAATGTAAAGTATTTACTATTTGTTTAATAGCTCAACGTTTCGCCTTGTGGGTTTCCCAGGAGCAACTCATCATCATCATCATCATCATCATCATCATCAACAGCAGCAGCAGCAGCAACAACAGCAGCATCAGCAGCAGCAGCAGCAGCAGCAATAGCGACAGCAGCAGTGACAGAATCATCCTCCTCATCAGCAACAATAACAACCACGTCAGCATCAACAATAGCAACAGCAACAGCAATATGAATATCAGTAGCAGTACCAGTAATTACACTAGCAGCAGGAACACTACCACTCCGACAGCTCCTCTTCTTTATCATCGTTATCAGCAGCGGCGGCAGAAGCACCACAGTCGGTATTTTAACAAAGCACCAGTAACAATAGAACCAACAGCATTGTCGTCAGATTCGTTATCACTAGTCGGCAACGTTAAGATTTGTCAAACGTTTAACAACAAATTGCATAGCGGGAAATGAAACGATGGTGCCGAAAATACTCTCGACTCAAAGCAGAAACTTACAAGAGGGCCAAAGCAGAGTGTTGGAAGCTTCATAATTTATGAAGACAAGGCAAAATCTTGTTTCCTTTTTCTATTTCTTTGATAAGTTAACAAAGAAGTGGCACATTTTTTGCTCCTACGCGATGCTCATTAATACTAGTGTACATTATTGCTGAGTCTGAAATCAGTTCAAGGTACGGTACCATTCTAGATGTAAGAAAGAAGAAGAGAAAGCTTTGAGACACTGTGACCTATAACCTTTTCTTTTATCTCAAAACCCAAGTTGACAAAGCGTGTTTGCTTTGGAATTTACGATTGTTAGGCTGACTTAAAAAGGATATTATAATTTGCTTATCGCCTAAAGACCCCTCTTTCATCTAGTCATTTCTTATTTACTTTGCATGCCCTTGTTAAGGTATTATCAGGAACTACTATTTCACTGACCTGGGCTTCTTGTTGTGACTTTCTTCATCACTCTATCTTCTCTATACAAGGCACATTTCGCTTTCTTTAAGTCTCTAAGTCTCCAAGTGTATGGGTTTGACGTCCCTGTCAATGTTACTAGCTTATCTAAGAGGCTGGACAACTGAATTTAACATTCGACTCCGATGGGACCAAGCCAAATGGGTTGAGAGCCCTGAAAGCTCAACAAAACGACCAGTTCAAATACGCCCAATCTGGGATTCGAACCAAAGCCATTCGCTCCATAGTCCAGCATGACACCAACTGAGCTAACGGAGCTTACAGAATTTGCAGTTTGTCACAATAAAATGTAAGAAAAAACACTCAGACATTTGAAAATTGGTTGGGGGGG